CATCTGAGTTCTGACCCTCGAGTCACCTTTCAGTACAGGAGGGAACACAAAAAGGAGCTCAACAGGCTGCCCGTGGCAGAGACCGGAAGGGAGAGGGGGTAGGGGCCTTGAGCTGCCCTTATGGAGGCCACCATGGCTGGAGACTGGCTATGGGTGTGGCGACACCCTGATGGGCTTATCAGGGTTCCTGCAGGACTCAGGACAAAGTGGCAGCCCAGGAGACCAGGGCCACTAGTGTGTTCTGGCAGTGTGGGGTGGGTGGGTGGCTCCCAAGAGCCAACTTTCTCACTGCGGGGGACCCCGCTTGCGGCCTCTGGGAAGCCCATTCCACACCTGCCTTGGCCTTCACTTGGCGAGGTCCGTGGAATTCTGCCCCACCTCTACCTCCAGCTGCTACCTGACTTCCGGCAGATGCTGCCTGGGATGCAGCCCCCCGAGTCCCAGCCCTCTGCAGCCACCTCTGCAGCGAGCGCCCATGGCTTGTCTTCCTCTCTTAACTGCCAGTACCTTGGCATCTGGGTCCCACATGAGCTGCCCTGTGGCTGAGACACTAGTAGCCACCAGAGGCTTCTTACACTCTCGGTTCTGTGGTCCTGCTGAGACAGAAAAAAAAAAGACAGGTCATTCTCTGTGGAAGAATGACCCAGGTTTGCAGATGGAACTCAGTGGTAGAGTGCTTGTCTGGCTACCAGAAGGCACCAGAAAAATTTAAAAAGTAAAAAAATAGGCAACATTTGGAATAATGAGGCAACATTTGGAATAATGATGTAGATACTGATTTTGTCAGTGATGTCTCTTGATTTACAGATGACTTGAAAGGAGAGATAACTCATAGTAACCAACATCTAGAAAGAGTTTCAAAAAGCTGTACTAGCTTGGCATCGTGGCCCACAGCTGTAATCCCAGCACTCTGGGAGGCTGAGGCAGGAGGATCAGCATGAGTTCAAGGCTACCCTGGACTCCATACCAAGAGCCTGTCTCAAAGAAAGAAAACCATGAAATTATTCTTAGTACCAGTAAATCAGTATGTTATAGGCAGAACGACAGAAATGCTGGCACTGGTGTCCGTGGAAGACTCCAGCTGGAGGCCAAGAGCTGTGGGGGGCCTGCACACGGGCAGAGGTGGGCTCTTGCTCATTTTGGGTTTTCCAGAGTGCACACGAACAGGCCAGAGTATCGTGTCATACAAGAAGCTCACGGTGAAGAACAGCAGAGGCCGAGCCCGCAGTCCCCCGCAGCACCCCACGCAGCTGCCGAGCACCACACACAGTCACAAGCATCCATTCCCAGCGCTTCCCAAAGGCAACCGTGGAGCTCAGCTTTATGAGTCAGGGTCTCATTGTGCAGCCCCGGTTGGCCTCAAGCTCGCGGGTTCTGCCCGCCGCCCCCGCCATCCTGGAAGAGCCTTCGCTTTGCGTCGGCGTTGGTTCTCAGTGTGGCAGCCAACATAGTTAGTGCTGATGGCAGTGAAGCCATCCAGAAGCCGCACTGGTGCCAGGGGCCAGCTGCCCGCCCCTTGAGCCCAGGTGTGCTGCTTGTCCCCCCATGGGTGGGCCGAACCCGCAGAGGTGCCTGGGCTGCCCACTCTTCGCTTCATTCCTCATGGGTGACTTAGGTAATTATCACCTTGGGTGCTTGGAAAATCCTATTACAATGTTCATTTTTAAATTGATAACAGATTGAACCAATGATGTATCTGTGGAAAAGACGAGTTTTCCCTGCAGTAGGCCCGTAATTGCAGTGAGCGGGACAAGGCTTGAACTGGTGCTAGGCTAGTTCAGTTGGTTTGTCATTTGGTTTGGTTTGGTTTGGGTTTGGTTCGGTTCGGTTCGGTTTGGTTTGGTTTGGTTTGGTTTGGTTTGGTTTTGAGAAGGGGTCTCGCGATGCAGCCCAGGCTGGCCCCCCTGCCTCAGCTCCCCAGTGCTGGGATGACAGGCTTCTGCCCCCACACCCAGATCGATCTAATGGAACACAGTCTCCCGGTGCAGCCGTTTCCTACAGCAGGCTCAGCAGAGTCGCTGTGCACCGAGGAAAGTTCTCTCAGGTCTCTGGAGGTTACAAGGGCTGAGGCAGGAGGGTCTTCATGGTGCATGGATGGGTCACCAGTCCTGTGGATGAATCAGAATGGGGAATTTTTCTGTCCTTCCTGGTGATTTCCGCACAGGGTGGGAAGTGAAAGCACTGGGTGCTCGAAGCCTGGGAGTGGAGGGACCCCACGGTAGCATCCCTGAGACCTGAGCGGCAGGGCGGGCGGCAGGTGGAGAGTATGGCCTTGCCCTCAGGCTGAGCAGCTGCCTGCCTGTGCTGGTCCAGAGAGGCAGCCGCTTGGCTCTGGGGCTGGGTTTACTTCCCTGCGGGACGGACACCACACTGAATTCTTAGTGCTCTCTGCTCCAAGCTGCTCGCTGGGGTCTCTTTCTCTGTGAACCTCTGAACCTCCCCACAGGCACCTGAGGCATTGTGGGGAAGCTACACCCAACTAACTCAGTTGGGCACATGGTGCCCTTTCCTAATATCCATGCCAGCCTGCTGGCCAGGCCCAGGGGTGCATGTCTGTAATCACAGCCCCTCTGGGAGGCCAAGGGAGGGGGATCTCAAGTTCAAGGCCAGCCAGGGCACCTTAGTGATGTTTTAGGATAGCACTTACATTAGGAGCTAGGACTTTAAAATGCACCTTATTTTAGTGGCTGTGCAAGTAAGCTTTGATCAGGTGACAGACGCTTGAGAGGCAGCCGGCAGGAGGGAGGGCTTGCGGCAGGCAGCTTGTGGTTTCAGAGGTTCAGTCCGTAGTTACGTGGCCCTGTGGCTTGGTGACTGGCATCACCACACTTAGTGACAGAGGAGACTCACCTCATGGTGGCCAGGGGCCCAAGGGGTGGGAGAGACAGGGTCCCAGCAGTGCCACACCAGTTCACCTCGCTTCCTCCCATCGGCCCCGGTCTTGGGGTTCCAGTCCCTTCCCATAGTGTCATGGCCCGGGGACCAAGCGTTCACTATGTGGGCCTTTTAAATTTGTTTTAATATGCATTTTTGGTTCATTTCCCCAGAAATAAGCCCAAGCATGATTCTTTTTTAGGGTGCTCAAAATATAAGCCTTGGGGACCGGGAGATGGCACAGTGGAGTAAGCGCTTCCCTGGCAAGCACAAGGGCCTGAGTTCAATCCCTGGTTCTGTTAAAAAAAATTAAAAAAAAATAAAAATTAAAAAAAAAAATACACACACACACACACACACACATACCCTCTCCCCAAAATAAGCCTCAGGTGAGATTATGAGCCAGATTTAGTATTTAGTATGTCCATTTCAACACACAAAGGACATCTTGAGTTATGACAGTGTCCCAGAAGAAGATGGCATGGCTGTATTTGAATAATTGAAGATTTTTGTACGTGAATAAATGAGTGTAGGTTGTTGTATATGAAAAACTAAGATATCCACTGCAAATAAATCCTATTCTATCTTTTGGAGCAAAAAGTAATACAAGATCGGGTCTCATTTTGGGGGGAATACAGTAGTAAAGTTGAATTGTTTTCCCTGTTTGTCTTTGCCACTTGCGTTTAGCCTGTCACTTAAAGCCCTGAGCTTTCATCTGCTACTAAATCATAGAAGCTGATGCTTCCCGGTGTCCAGAAAATGTTTGCTGTGCTCCTTAATTGAAATACTAGGGCCCAAGAGATAGCTCAGTAGAGTAAGCACTTGCCTGGCCAGCACAAGGGCCTGAGTTCAATCCCCGGTACCGCAAAAGGAGAAGAAATCCTAGGCCAGGTTTGGCGAACCTTTTGGAGCTCTCAGAGACACAAGCAGCTGCTGTGGCACACATGCCACAGGTTCGCCAGCACTGCACTAGGCGTCAGCAGCTCCAGGAGCGCCTGGCTGTAATGTGCACAGCGAATGTTCATCTCTCAAGCGAGCTACCTCTTTATCTCTTTTCTTTCTGAGCCTTGGAGGTGAGAAAGTCTGCTTCTTTGTTTTGGTATTGAATATGCTAAAATCAAACTTTTTTTTTTTTTTTTTTTTTTTTTTGTATTTGGCACAGGGTCTACAGGGTCTCACTATGTAGATCCGACTCTTAGTGATCTATCTGTTTTCAGCCTCCCAAGAGCTGGGATTAAGGCGTGTGCCACCACGTCATCTTAGCACACCCTGGGGGCGGGGCCGGCGGGGCACACTTGGGACCAAACCCTGGCTGCTGCGCTCTGCCTAAGCAAGCACTTTAGTCCGCTGAGCTACTTGGCCAGCTCTTAAAATCAAACTTTAGATGCAAATGTTTTTTATCTAGCTTAAGTGTTTTAAAATGAATTCTAGATCACGTAGAGGAGAAATCAGGCTCTGCTGTTGATTTTTGTGTTAATTATAAAGTTTCTACGTACACAAGAGTCTTTAGTTATAATAAGGAAGAGAAAAAAGAAACCAGCCAGGGATATAGCTCAGCGGCACAGCGCCTGCCTGGCAAGCACAAGGCCCTGAGTTTTATTCCCAGTACCAAAAGAAAAAGAAGCTGAAGTTAAATATACTGTTGCATTAAAAAAATAAAATAAAATAAAAACTACTCTAATGCCTATATGCTTTTCAGTGTAACACAAAAACTTTTTGTCTATAATGTTTAGTTACTTTTAAATTACCAAGGTTACAAAATCTGTCACTGGCGATAACTGAGCCCATTGGGTTGAAATCTTAGTTCATGGTAATTTCCTTCCTAATTCCGGACTTTGGAACTCTGTTGTTAGCCACCAGCACTTGGAAGTTGAGGCAGGAGGATCACTGCAAGCTCTAGGTCAGCCTGGGTTACAAAGTGTACTCAAGGCCAGCTGAAACTGCATAGCGAGACCCTGTCTCGAAAAGAAAAAATATATATATTATCATTGACATGGTGACAAGTGACCTTGTCCCAGCTCCTCCAGAAGCTGAGGCAGGGGATCCTCAGTGAGACCTCATTTCAAGAAAATGAACAAAAACTCAACACAATAAAAGTTTGTTTTGTTCTCCTCGCTTTTCTCTAGGTGAAAAAAGCCTTTTTTGCGTTGGTAGCCAACGGTGTCCGAGCAGCACCTCTCTGGGAGAGTAAAAAGCAGAGTTTTGTAGGTGAGCAGTGTGGGCCTGGGGGTGTTGGGACTGGGATGGGGACCTTTGGGTGCTGCTCCCCCAAGCTTCTCATGGGTAGGGGGTCAGCTGGGTAGATCTCTTACCAAGTGAAAGAGCATTCTTATGTTGTTTTGTTTTTGTGAGACAGGGTCTCGCTATATAGTACAGGCTGTTAAAGTCACTGTGTAGTCCAGGCTGGCGCTGAAATCATGGTGATGCTCCTGCCTCAGCCTCCTAAGCACTGGGATTACAGGCACGCATGACCACACCAGGCCACGTCCTTCATTTTACATCCTGGAAAAGCCGGAGCGCTGTGGCACGCCAGCTGAACCCCTGAGGGAGGTGGGGTTGAATTTCCTTTAATTCAGCGGCTTTTTGGCTTATGTGCCTTTATCAGCCACAAAAACCAAAATCCATGCACGTGCAGAGATCAGACCTGAGGTGGCACTGCCAGCCTGGGCAGTCCAGTGAGCTTTATGACAGCCAGCTGTTGGCACCGGTCACCTTTACACAGGGAAGGTAGAAGGATGTGAGTGTGCTGGGTGTCTTTGCTGTTAAAGAGATTATATAGTTTCCAGTGATTTCAACACTGTCAGTCCCAAATCACAGGAGACAAATAATGACACTGTCACTGTGTCTTCAACACAGTATTTTGTAATTGCCACCAGGTGGGGCGCCATACGCCTGTAATCCCAGCACTCTGAAGGTGGAGGCAGGCAGATCACTGTGAGTTCAAGGCCAGCGTGGGCTGCAGAGTCATACCATGTCTCAAAGAAACAAAAATAAAGGCCCTGCTTATATCTGCCTCTCCTGCTCGACTGTGACTTTTGGGGAGAAGCTTGGTGTCTGTCTCATCTCCCCAGTTCTGGTGTGTAGTGCAGAAGAGGCACAGCGCCTCACAGCTCGCTACGACCACAGTGTTGAGCGTGCAGCTCGGGCGTCCCCATGCCGAGGTGCACGGAGAACTGTGTCCTGCTTCATCCTACTCTACTTATTTTTAAATATTTTAGATCATTTGCATGTAGCTGCGGTTCTTTCTTTTTTTTTTTTTTTTTTTTTGATATTTCGTAACAGTGTTCTCTCATTGATTTGCCACATACTTTGATGAATTCCAAACTTCTAATCAAGTTTAATTTCAGCTAGATTTTGATACCTAGTTTGGAATAAGCAATAAAATAATAGCTTTAAATAATATACTAAATTGTTCATAAGATTGTTAAAGTATATAATGTAAGACTTTCTTGTAAACATTTTAGGTTTAATATTGTATAAATTTTTCCATTATATACTCACCGTTTTATTTTTAACATCTAATTCTTTGTTCCAGGGATGCTAACAATCACCGATTTCATAAATATACTGCATAGATACTATAAATCACCCATGGTGAGTGGCAGCGGCCTTTGCCCTCTTTCCCTGATCAGCCTTGTCTGTCTCCTGCGAGTGTGGGAGCTGTGTATGTTTTGTGATGTTTCTGGGGTGTGTGGTAATGGGTGATTTTCCACGTAAATGAGCAAAAGGAAGTTCAGTGTAAATCCGCTACCCTGAAGTGTGGCCTGGCCCGAGTCATAGTTTCTTGTTCTCACTGCTGAAACAAAACGCCTGCCTCTTTGTCCAAGGAGGAGAGGTGCATTTGGCTCACAGTCTGTAGAGCTTTCAGCCCAAGCCGGCCGCCCTAAGGCAGGCTGGCAGGTGGAGGAGGAGCAGCTCACGGCGGGCAGAGGGCAGCTGCATGGTGAGGACGCGCCACAGCCTGCCTGCCCCCGGGCGCTTCTAGGCTCCCTGTGCTCCCCACACCGGCCTTCCCATTACCCACACCCAGAACAGCGCCAAGCCAGTCGTGGGCTAATTCAGTGGCCCTATGCCCTTGATCCCAGCGCCACACACTCAACATCCAGCCCCCTCCAAAGAGCCCTGTCTGTGACACACGAGGCTTTGCGGGGACATCTACACCTGGCCATAACCGTGGTATGCTCCTGGAATCCCAGCACTCGGGAGGCTGAGGCAGGAGAACTGCCACAAGTTGGAGGCCGGTTGGGCTATCTAATGAGACCCTGTCTCAAAAACTAAAAAATACCCCGGTAAACAGCCATCTTTGTGCAAAGTTGCATGTTTTTAGCTTGAAGGAGATATTCTCTGAAAAGTCAAAGGGGGTAGCTGCTCTGTTCGGCTGCCACAGGTTCTCTGGTCGGGAGGGTTCCACACTTCTTATTCCCAGGGTACCTCTGCAGCCGGGGGTGGGCCTGCCCACAGCTGTTGGCCAGGTGGCCGGCCCGGCAGGGACCTCGGGCCTGAGCACGGCTGGTGGGATGACAGAGCTTTGTGAGACTTTTATAACAGGAGCCATATGGGCTGTGTGGTTTCAAAGGAGGAAGAAAAAGTGAAAATTAAAATCGAAGAGATCCAGTTGAGCTTTGTCATGCCAGTTAGGAAAGGACACGTTGCAGGTGGCGGTAGCAGATCCCAGCCACAGGTCCAGCTGTGCAGGAAGAGCAGATTCAAGAGCCCTCTGTCTCCTTCATTGCTGGACGTCTGTGACTTGGCCAGCTTGTGTTTGAGTGTCATTTGGTTTTGAGGTGGGGAAGGATGGTTGGTGCTTTATTCACCTCGTAATATGGGGGTACTGAAAAGGCTCCCTACACACTTTTGTTTTGTTTTGAGAGACAGGGTCTCATGTGTTGCTCAGTCTAGCCTTGAACTCCAGGCAGTCCTCCTGCCTCAGCCTCCCAAGCACTGTGGTGGTTACAGGCGCACGCCACCACGTCCAGTTTAAGTACAGTGCTTGAAGGGGACAGTCGTGCAGCATGATAACAGGGAGATACGTCTTCAGAAATATCAGTTGATGTGGGGTTTTCTTACACAAAGAGCCATGCAATTGCTGGTGCCAGGAACGTTAGGAGCGTGTGGTACGTGTTGCTGGTGCCAGTAACGTTAGGAGCATGCGGTACGTGTGATGCATCAGTGACCAAAATGTCACTGAGTGGCGTGCAGCTGTAATTAAGATCCTCCGTGAAATAGAAAATGAATTCCTTCATGAGACATGCTTAGAACAAAGTTTTGCCAGAGACTTTAAATATTGTTATGTGACACGACAGACACGTCTGATTGCTTAAATCCCACTGACTCTCGTGAGCGCTGGTCGTCTCCGTACAGATCACATCTCTGCTCAGGACTAGGATCTCTTAAGGGGAGAGAGCTCACCAGGCGAGGTGATGCAGCCCGTGATCCCAGTGCTCAGGAGGCTGAGGCAGGTGGGTCGCTGTGAGTGTGAGGCCAGCCTGAGCGGCATGGTGAGACGCTATCTCAAAAAGCCGTACCTGGGGCCGAGGAGACGGCTGAGTAGAACAAGCGCTTCCCTGGCAAGCACAAGGGCCTGAGTTTTATTCCCTGTTCCGCCAAAAAAAAAACACCACACAATTAGGGCCAAGGATACAGCTCAGCAGCACAGGGCCTGCCTGGCAAGTGTAAGGTCATGAGTTTGATTCCTGGTACCGAAAACACCATAAATAAATAGAGAAATATGGAGAAAGTTCCGCCTAAATCCCATATAGCAAAACCTCAGCAGTAGTTATTAAACCAAAATTTCCAAAAAGTAGAGTTAAATGTATAGCTCATATATAGTTTTTCTTAAAGCTTGAAGAACCTTTTTTCTCTGTTTCTCCTCATCTTCATAAAACAAGTAAACAAAATTAATATGGAAGCTCTGTTTTGTTACTTTTCCTACATCATTTATTCCCGTGTCATGTGTATTAGCATTCATTAACTAGAATTTCTCTTGTTCACAGGTACAGATTTATGAATTAGAGGAACATAAGATTGAAACGTGGAGGGGTAAGCACCACTGAAGTTAAAACCCTTTCCCATCCAGGAGAGAACATCAGAATTATTGTGTAAAGTGTGTTTTAGCACGACAGATTCTTGGGCCAGCAAGATAGCTCAGCGGACTAAGCGCCTGCTTATGCAAGCACAGGGACCAGGGTTCGATCCCCAGGACCACATGCTGTCCACCCACCCCACCCCACCCCTCCACTCCCGCCAAGGGCCCTGAGCGAGAGTGTGGTGGTGCAGGCCTGTAATCCCCACTCTGGGGAGGCTGAAAACTGGAGGATCACTATGAGTCTGAGCTGGGTAGTGAGATCCTATACCAAATGCATTTAAAAAAAAAAATTACAGATTCTTCTCATGCTGCTTAATACTAATACGTTAGTGAAAACATCTTGCTTCTTTCTGCCTCCATGTGGAGAGTGCTGTGCCAACTCAGGCTGGGGTTGGGCTGTGGGGTGGGCTGAGGATGTCCGGGTATGTGATCTGATCCCTAGGTAGCCTTGCAAATCATTTTTGAGCCAGGTATGGTGGCGCATGCCTGTAACACCAGCACTCGGGAGGCTGAAGCAGGAGGATCACCATGAGTCCAAGACTGTTATTTTGAACAATCATAAAGTAAAAGCTCCAAAGTGAGCTCAAGGCCAATCTGAACTATATAGTGAACCCTTATCTCAAAAAACAAAACAGCAGAACAAAAAGAAATGGAAGAACCAAAAGGAAAATTTCAAATTTGAAATTGAAGAGTCCAGGGGTTCAATCCCCAATATGCCATGCCAGCCCTAGCCCCTGGGCACCCTGAGACATAGATTGAGACTGGGCATGGTGGCACGCACCTGTAATCCCAGCACTTGGGAGGCTGAAAACAGGAGAATCACTATCAGTCTGATCTACGTAGTAAGACCCTGTAGTCCCTGTACTGAATACATTTAAAAAACATTAAATTGAAGAGTCTGGCTTTGTACTTCCTTAGCATGCTTAACAGGCTCAGCTACCCCTGTAATTGGCTGAGAAACCTAAACATTCAATAGCGGTCTCGCATGTGGTACAGCCTTTAATCCCATAGGAGTTAGAAGCCCATCGGTTGAGATGTTTATATGGCTGTGTCCAGCCGAGCCAAATGAAGCAGTCAGCGTGAGGCCATATGGCCTGGTGGAAGGCTTATGTGCCCCCACACCAGCGCATTCTTCCCAGCCAAGCCCAGCGTTCACGCACTGTGGACCGAGCGCCAAGCATATTTACATTTTACCATACGTGAATGTGGTGGTAGTAATGATACTACCTGGATATTCTCACGTGCCTTTTGTATGTAAACCTCAGTAAAGCAAATTAATTAGTGTATCGCTCTCCAAAGAAAATTTCTGTTTTCTGGGAGGATTCTCAAGATGCAGTAGGTTTTGAACAATCATAAAGTAAAGTAAAACAATGTTTGAGGAACAATTTGGTGTAACTGACTTTATCTTACAGCTAATAAAAATTGGCTTTAAGTGGTTTTATAAATGTTTTATTTCTTGAGAGTAATTTTACTTCATAGCATCCTAGTGACCTCTGCTGGTATTACATACTTGGTTTCCTGATTTTTTCCCCTAATGGTGCAGTCATTTATTGAAATGCTATATTCTTTAAGTATTGAATTTTTCTCCAACACCCTGAAAAAGTTGACATTACTTAATTATGACGATAATTAGCACATTACTTTTGAATAAGTTAAGTTCCTATTGATTTGGAGTTGTAGTTCTTCTAATTATCTGTACACTGAAGGGTATTTGAATTTATAGCATAACAAGCAGCAAACATGTTACTAACTGCAGATTTTCTTTTTATAAATACAGAACTTTATTTGCAAGAAACATTTAAGCCTTTAGTGAATATCTCTCCAGATGCAAGGTAAACTTTTAGGACTTTTTTTTTCTACTGAAAATATTCATTCTCATGTCTGTTTTATAACCATGACAGCTGAATAGAGACAAATAAACCAAGAAACATGGTCTCCAGCCCAGGGAGAGCCAGCCTTAACCCAAATCCTAAATTCTGTAACAGTAGGGACATTGGCAATTACAACCATTCTCAGTGTCAGGGATTGAAATCAGGCTAGGAAACTGGTCACCCCAAGCATTTTGAAAACCCTGACCTGGAGGAGGATCAGTAGCAAGTATGTTACCCAGTCCTAGCCAGATGTGTGGCAGCACACACCTGTAATCCCAGTACTCAGGAGGCTGAGGCAGGAGGATCACAAGTTCAAATCTACCCTCAGCAATTAGAGACTTAATGAAAAATAGAAAATGGCTGGGGATGCAGCTCCATGCCTCCATTCCTCAATACTGAAAAAAGAAAAAATGCTACCGTCTGGCCAGGCACAATGAGTCGAACCCATAATCCCAGCTACTCAGGAGGCTGAGACGAAAGGATCATGAGTGTGAGGCCAGCCTGGGCAGTTTAGTGAGCCCTTTCTCAAAAACCCATAAGTTTCTAGAGAGGTGTAGTTCATGCTTAGGGTTGAGATATAGTTAACCCCTCATTCTGTTTTAATTTAATTGGCCTTTTATTACGGTGATATAAAATTGCTTTAAGCAGGGGTGGTCCAGAGCTTTCTGATTTCGCTTCAAAGCCTCCTAACGACTGTAATGGCTTCTCCTACAGCCTCTTCGATGCTGTATACTCGTTGATCAAAAACAAAATCCACAGATTGCCAGTCATTGACCCTATCAGTGGGAATGCACTTTATATCCTTACCCACAAAAGAATCCTCAAGTTCCTGCAGCTTTTTGTAAGTAGTTTTGAGTGTTTGTAAAGACATAGCTGCCTTTACTTTTGTTTACTTCAAATCTATTGGCTCTCGGTAGCAGGAATCACTAGTTTGGAAGTCTGCCACCCTGAACTTGAACTTCTCAGGCTACTGCTGTTTTATATTCTTAAAAGTTGATTCCAGCCAGGTGTGGTGGCTACGGGAGGCCGAGGAAGGAGGCTGTCTGGGAGGCTGAGGCCAGCCTGGGCTACGCAGTGAGACCCTTCCTCAGAAACTCAAGGTGATTCCAATTAAAGAGCAATCGCCTTTCCATACAAGAATAAAATGACATTTGGAATTCTTTTTCTACATCAACATGCAAGGGGCACCAAAGGCAGGTCTGTGTGATTTAAGACTGCTGCCCAAGATAGGCTGAACCAGTATGTAGGGCAAATATTACTTCATTGTTTGACCATGTGTTTATTTGTATCATGATTTTTTTCTGTATTTATGGCAGGGTCTACAGGGTCTCACTACGTAGATCAGACTCGTAGTGATCCTCCTGTTTTCAGCCTCCCAAGCACTGGGATTGCAGGCACGCGCCACCACGCCAGTCTCAATCACTGTCTCAGCGCACCCCACGGATGGGGCTGGGATGGCACGCTGGGCATCCAACCCCGGCTGCTGCGCTCTGCCTAAGCAGGCGCTTTAGTCCGCTGAACTATCAGGCCAGTCCTTGTATTGTGATTTTTAGAAACCTGATCAAAAATACTGTCTCTGACACGATCTTGTTAGAAACTGCAGCAGTACCCGAAAATCCTAAAGGAGATAGCATTTTGGCAGGAGCATCAATACCATGTTGGTCCAAATCTGGTCTGTGTTACCTGGAGCTTTGCTTGGCCCTCTGTGAGACAAGGTGGCTTCCTAATGGTCCAGAACCTGCGAGCTCTTTGCTGGGTGGTATCCAAAGAGGGAAGAGCAGCCAGGTCCAGGGCGGCTGGGCGTTTTCTTCTGAGTACGCGCAGTAAATTCCAGTTAAAAGTGCTCAGTCAGACACAAGCAGTGGGAAACACATAGCTCAGAAGAGGTCATTTGAGAAGTCACTTCCTAACAGTAGCAAAGCCCTGCTTCCCTGTAGCAGGGCCACCGCGTGAGGGCAGCAGAGCAGCATAGGGACTGGGAGAAGACCGGGCCCCTCAGAGCAGTGCTGTAGCCTAATGGTGTGTAGATAAGCAACACCTGTGGTGAAATACCTGCTGCAGAGGAAGGCAGGATGGACAAGAGTAACTCACCAGAATAAAAGTTTAATAAAATCTAGGCAGAAGGAGTGAGGGGAGACACGCCAGCCGCGCTCCCCAGTGCACGGTCAGGCCGAGGCCCCCTTCGCGGCTGAGCTCCCGAAGGGCACAGTCAGGGCCGTGTGTGCCGGGCCTGAGACTCCTTGCTGTTGAGAGTCGTGATTATGAGATAACGTGACCCCTGAGCCTTGGTTATTGTGGGGCCAGCTTCGTTCTCAGCCCCTGATGTGTTGGCTGTCACCCTCATGACCCCACTTCTCAGGGCAGGAAGCCACATAAGTGGGGTTCAGCAGCGTGGACAAGGAATGTGATTGTGAGTGTAGAGCCGTCATCCATACCATGATCTGATTCCTCCTGTGGCCACCTTGCAGGCCCCCGTGTACCCCTCACTACTCACGCTAGAGCACACCCAGAACTCTTAACTCCCAAGCCAGGGCCACCACTGCAGAACCGCTGCAGACCCATCTGTACAAGCAGAGGTGGCAGGTGTGCTGGGATCCACCCACAGTCCAGCTCACGGGGCTGGGGCGCAGCTGGGCTGCAAGTTCAAGGCCCTCCTGGGCTGCACAGCAAGACTCGGTCTCTAAATAGACCAATAAGCAGAGGAAGTTTCCACTGGCCAGGACTGCCTTACCTTTGGGTCAACATGGTGATTAGACACATGCTACTGGAATATTCAGCAAAAATACAGAATGTAAATACAGATGCGTCAGGTCCTCATGTTTATTGAATAAATGAATCACTTCCTGAGACAAGTAGCCTCAGCCTTGAAGACATCTGTACCGAAGCTGCACGTGGCGTGGCGCGTAGAGCAGGGAGTCTCTGATGCTGGGTGGACCAGGCAACCTAATAGGTCTTTCTTTTCTTTCTTTTTTTTTTTTCTCTTTAAATTTCTAGGATTCTCATGATTTGAATATTGATGAACTCTTTGACTTGAACATTTTGTTTCTCCTAATTGTTCATCTTTTCCTGATAAGGTACACCAGGACTATGGAATCAACTATGCCCTTTGTAAAAGGTGGATCTTTGAAACCATAGACCTTGTTTTGTTAGAGCCAGACATGGTCCTCACCTTCTCTGTCCTGACTTAATCCCTCCTCTAAAATACCCGGAACAGAGAAAGTTCTCTTCATTCTGCTCAGCTTGTTCTTAGATCCCAGTAGATAAAAACCAGCATCATCCAGTGAGACGGAGGGCACAGAGGTGGGACAGAGTGGGGTCGTGAGGTCGGGTTGGTGGCCTTGAGCCACCTGGCTTCCTAACCATGACTGCACACTGGCAGCTGGGCCCAGAGCTAGACACAAAGAATTAGAACTCGAGTCTGTTCCTGGGGAGTCATGAGTCTTAATTTTCCAGACAGACCTGAGGTCCCCTTCTAGCCACATTTTTAGTTAGTGAAGAGAAGGAGAGACGTTACGATGCACAGCGTATAGCCAGACAAATCGGTCTGGAGGAGAGAGTCAGTTCTGATCCGCTCGTCCTGCTTGAAACAGCCGTGCAGATGTGTAGCTTTTCACCCAGACCCAGACTTGTAAACCTGTACAGACAGTTTTCAGGGTCCCAGAACCTTTGATTTCTCTCGGTCTCAGATGTCCGACATGCCAAAGCCCGCCTTCATGAAGCAGAACCTGCAGGAGCTGGGGATAGGAACCTACCGCAACATTGCCTTCATCCACCCGGACACGCCCATCATCAAAGCCCTGAACATATTTGTGGAGAGACGGATATCGGCGCTGCCCGTAGTGGACGAGTCAGGTCTGTTGTCCCCCCTAACATAGTTGTTAACTGGCTTATTTTCATACTTCCATCAAGATACAATTTCACTCCCAGTGTGCTAACCACACCAGTAATCTCCACATTTGGGAGGCTGAGACAGGAGGGTCACCATGAGTTTGAGGCCACCCTGGGCTACAGAGTAAGGTCAAGGCCAGCCTGAACTACATAATAAGACCCTGTCTCAAAAAAACAAAGACACAAAAAGATACCATTTCATGTCCATGTTAAAATAGACAAGTGTGCTGAACCTGGTGGCACACGCCTGTAATTCCAGCTCTCGGGAGGCTGAGGCAGGAGAGGATCATTGCGAGTTGAGACTAGCCTTGGCTCCTAAGTGAGCTCAAGGCCAGTGTAAACTGCGTAGCAAGACCCTGTCTCAAAAACACAAAAATAAAGTAATACATGACATAGGTGAGTGTATCTGCATTCAGTCTTTAAAAGTAGGGAAGTTTGTCAGTACTGCATTATCAGTAATTACCTATTTAAGGCTGACTTTAGAGCAAATGAGAGACTGGGCAGGTGGCACGCGCCCGTAATCCCAGCTCTTGGGGAGGCTGAACACAGGCGGGTCACCGAGTCTGATCCACATAGTGAGACCCTGTAGACCTATACTAAAAAATACAAAAATAAAGCAAATGATTTTGTTGTTCCTAAAATACTTTTCTCACATGTTTTCATTTTTAGGAAAAGTTGTAGATATTTATTCCAAATTTGATGTAATTGTAAGTATGTTTTCATTTTCTTTAAATCTATTATTTTAAATATATTTTAAAACCTACTGACTGGGGCTGGAGAGATGGCTCAGTGGTCTAAAGCACCTACTTGAAACAAGCTTGGCAAAGCACAGGGACCGCGGTTCGATCCCCAGCACCACATGCCAGCCAGCCCCGCCCCCTGGTGGGCTGAGCTGGCCACACACACACACACAATAAATAAATGTAATAAATAAAAATAAATAAATATTTTAAAAAATAAAAAATAAATAAATAAAACCTACTGAGTATCTAAGAAAGGGAACCCATATTTCTGCTGGTTGCCCGACTTCACACTTCCTGTTTTTGAGTCTGAGGATAGGGAAGCCGATCTCCCCTAGTAACCGTACTTCTAACGTCCATGGCGTGGTGATGAGGCGCACGTCGGTATCCTGGAGGACTTTGTAATCTTGTCTCCTCAGTATCCGTGCATTGCACACCACGTAGCGCATGCAGACGTTGTAAGTGTGCACCCGGACGTGGGCACTGTTTCCCGGCCGGCAGGTGTGTGCGCAGTGTGCTGGGAGCTCGCATGATCGCTGTGCGTGTGCACTTGTCAGATGTAGCCCCATGCTGGCCTTCTCACAGTGCCGTTCCAACAGACAGCGAACGGATGGAGCAGCGGTGTGTTCAGCAGAGCTGCGTTAAGCTCTCCGTCCACACTCCTGATGTCAGTCTGCTGGCTCCCTGCCGACGCTGCATCTTCCATCTGATTCTCTTTTCTCCCATGCGTGCGTGAAGATGCTGTCGCAGTATCTAAGAAAGGGAGCCCGTATTTCCACCACCGCAGATGCACATGCCATTGTTTTGGCTATGATATTGACCCTGGCACTGAATATTTTGCAGCTGTCTTAAATCTTTTGGGTCACTTTATACTTACCATAATAGACACCAACACATATGCTCATTAGAATGTGGGCGCTGTGACCCTGAGATGTCGTTTGGACCCATGGGACTTCTTGGGCCTATTCTTCCTCCTGGCCTTGACCTTGATGGGTCCCAAAAACCCCGTTCTCCAGGGAGCCTTTTGGGAAAGCCCACTGAGATTAAGCCCATCCTCTGAGCACTGTGACCCTCACAGATGTCAAGCAACCTCCCCAAGAGTGTCATTCACACAGAGAAGTGTTTGGCAGGATGAGCTATCAGAGTTTAATATAGGGGCATAAGTGCCCACCTGGCAAGCACAAGGTCCCAAATTGGATACCTGGTACTGGGGAAAAAACATCAACATAATACGGGGGAAAATTTTAACGTAATATGAATGCTTTGATTGCAGTATGAAAACTTTATTATTATTTTTTTGGGGGGGGCCTGGCCCTAGCTGAGTCCTTTAAGTGGCTGCTTCCACAAAGCTGTCAGCCTCAGGTTGCTGGAGTTCAAACCTCACAACTCTCCCGCTGGCCAAAAGTGCCCTGAAGGCATTCGAGGAACAAAAAAAAAAAAAAAACATTATTATTATTTTTTTTTTTTTTTTGTACCAGGGATTGAACTTAGGCAGGTGCTTATGCCACTGAGCTATCTTCCCCAGCCCTGAAAGTTTTAATTTGATAAGATGATAGATAAAGTAATGATGCTGATGGCGTGATACAAGCTGAAAAGACAGCGACAGCTGCTGAATCTAAATAAACATGAATGCTTTTAGAAATCAGGGTGCCTTAAGCTTACTAATTTTGGCCATCATGCAAATTGAAGTGATAGCCATAATTTTGTTCTGGGGCTCTGTTCTAGAATCTTGCTGCTGAGAAGACCTACAATAACCTGGACATCACGGTGACACAGGCTCTGCAGCACCGGTCGCAGTACTTCGAGGGCGTGGTGAAGTGCAGCAAGCTGGAGACCCTGGAGACCATCGTAGACAGGATAGTGAGAGCCGAGGTGAGGCCCGGGCACCAGCCGCCCCTCCCAGGCAGACGGCAGCTCAGGGATTTGAGCCCCGGGAGTGCCCGGCCAAGCAGCCTTCACATTCTGCCGGAGGGAGTTCTCCAGAACGTTCCACGGCCCGTGGCAGCAGTGCTGGCGTCAGTGGAGTTGGGCTGAGCTGCGTCTCAAGCGCAGATAGCACAGGTGACTCAGAAGGACTGGTGAGCGCCTCCCGTGCTTCAGAAAGTGCATTTGAGACAAGTTGCCCCAGGACCATCAAGTTCTGTCGGGAGGCTCTCACCAGTCCTTCTGAGTCACCTGTGCTATCTGTAGAGTGTAGAGTTTTCAAAGACGCTGGGAGCAGTGGCGCAGGCCTGTAGTCCCAGCACTCAGGAGGCTGAGGCAGGAGGATTGCTGTGACTTCCCAGCCAGCCTGGGCTACGTAAATGAAATCAAGGCCAGCCTGAACTACTTAGAGCAAGACCCTGGCTCATAAAAACCTCCAGAAGGCGTAAAGCAACTGATTCAGGTTCATCACCCTGGTCTCTCTCCCGCAGCTTAGCCAAGCAGTAGCTGGCCTGGCACCTCACCCTCCTGAGCTCCAGAACTCAGCCTGTGTGGAGGACCTTCAGGGCCACTGCGCAGCGCCCTGTAGGGAGCTGAGGGGCGCGGTACAGCCGTCCCTCACACATCCCTCCTGTGCATGTGAACTTGTCAGATGGGCGAGGGAGGGAGGGAGAGGGGGAAAAGTAGAGGCAATAAGGGGAATGGAAAATGACCAGAGCACAAGAGGCGTGTGCCAGTTCTGCAAAGCAAATGTAAATATTGTGTGCCATAGACATACACTGTCACATCTGTGTCCAGGTGTCCCCACAAAGCCTTACACACTCACAGGTGGGGCTTTTTCAGCAGTAGCTGGATTGAGTGTGAGGTATGCTGGGATGAGGGGCAAGTGCTCACTAACAGTCTGCTGATTGCTTTGCACTACCCTAGTCCCAGCAGCCTAGATAGAGCATAACGGGGCAGCAAGGTGCTGTGAAGGCCCCTCGGGGCTCTGCTGCCATCTGCCCACGGTGCCGCCTTCCTGGGGAGTCAGCTGACTGTGCCCTGACAGCCCTACTAACTGTGAGCCAGAGAAGCCTTCCCCTTAACTTTGGGCCTCAGGTGTTTTGTCTTAGCAACAAGAAAAGTAACTGTAACCCATACACATTAAAAAAAAAAAAGGCCGAAGATAGTGGCACATACTTAGACTCCCAGCACTCAGGTGGCTGAGGTAGGAGGGCACTAAGAGTTCAAGGTCAGCCTGCGGTTTATAGTGACATAGTGAGTTTACTGCTGGCTTGAACTACACAGTGTGACCCTGTCTCAGAGACATTAAATGAATGAGTAAATGGGAATTCTACCGGCTGAGTTAATTCACCCAGCTTTCTCTTTAATGGCTTCTAACACGTCACTGACATCTCCTGGGAAATCTTCCCTTTTCCACTTGAATTTACTAAATTCATAGCTGGATGTGGTGGTGCATACCTATAATCCCAGCATGCAGGAGGCTGAGGCAGGAAGCTCACCATGGCTTGAGACCAGCCTGGGCTCCATAGTGAGTTCAAGCCTAGCCTGAACCACATAGCAAGACGCTGCTGTCTTAGGAAACAACCAAACAAAAGAACTCAGCACATTCATCGACCCCTTCTTCCCGGAGGGTCTCAGTTGCTGGTGACACACCCTAGCATGTAGTCGATGTGCTCAGACCAGACCACTACAAGATCACAGCAGAAGTAGTGTAGGCTTCCTCTACCGCCGGGAGGCTGGCAGACATCACTGTGCCAGGCCTCTCACAGCAGGCACCGTGTCCCAGAAAAGCAAGCACTGGCATGACGTCAGAAAGCACCAGCAGTGTCTTCCCAGGGAAGGGCTGGCCACTATGGCCCAGGGAGTTGTGTCCCCGGCTCTGTGTCACACAGCACAGAGTTGCAGAGAAGGACTGGCATCGGCTGCTTCTGGAGGCACCGTGGGGGGTGCAGGCAGTGTCCGGCTCTGCTGTGCTCCCCGGTGGCGTAGACAGCTCTGAACTATGACAGCAAGGAAAGCAGATTCGTTAAGCCATTTTCTCCAATTACGCATCTTGACTTTTTGTATGTGTGCTGGGAATCAAACTCAGGACCGTGTGCTTGCCAGATGGGTGCTTATGCCACTGAGCTATCTCTCCAGCCCTCATGTCTTGACTTTTTTCCTCAATAAAATTCTGCCAACTGGTGCCCTCTACAACCTAGGGACACAAAACCAGGCTTTAGCTTTGATGCAGTTTGTCAGAGGAAGGACAGATAAGATCATTGAAGACATAGGCTAACCAAAGGACAAATGAGGGACCTCAGACAGGGAACACTTGTGAGCTCATGGCACGGGGGTGTCCTGACAGGGTCTCCCAAGGGAGGTTTCTTTTCTCCCGCAGGCACGCATGGCTGGGCACATTCTCTGACTTGGACCAATTTTCTACCTCGGGCACTGTCTCCAAGGCTTGGCTCAGATGTCTGCTGCTCGGGATTCTGACACCCTCGTGTGACCGTCCTCACTGCCGCTCCTCGCAAGCATGGGGCACAATCACACGGGCTCTTTGGCTGTTTTTGTGCTCTGGTGACTTTGGTGCAAGTTCCTGTGGATGAGATTATGTGGTTCAGGCTTCCTTGAGCTCACTTTTTAGCCCAGGCGGGTCTGGAACTCACAGCAGTCCTCCTGCCCCAACCTCCTGAGCCCTGGGATCACAGGCGTGTGCCACCATGCCCAGCCAGGAACCACTGTTTTAATTTATAGTTAGAGTGAATAATGGTGCTCTTACAGGATTACTGAAGGATTAAAATGTCTTACCAGAGAAGCTTTAGAGGGTTTTTTGTTTGTTTATTTTGGTCTTTTTTTGGTACCAGAGATTGTGTTCAGGACCTTGTGCTTGCCCGGCAGGCACTTATGTTGCTGAGCCATATTCCTGGCCCCAGACATGCCTTTTAAAGAAATTTCAGTATTTGTTGAGTCATAAATGATAATCAAGGGCCTGGGAGATGGCTCAGTAGAATAAGTGCTTGCCTGGCAAGCGCAAGGGCCTGAGTTCAATCCCTGGTTCCACAAAAAACTAAAAATTAAAAACAAAAACAAAACAAAAAGATGATCAAATGGCTCACTTTCTAACCCACAGCAAATGGTCTCCAGAACATTGCAATGTAGATCATTGGGAATCAAATATTGAAACATGCTGGGCATGCTAGCGCACGCCTGTCCCCAGCACTCGGGAAGCCGAGGCAGAAAGATCACTGTGCGTTCCAGGCCAGCTTGGGCTACACAGTGAGGTCAAGACCAGCCTGAACTGCAGAGCACGTGCCTGTCACCAAAGCAGCACAACAAAGAAAAAACCCAGAACTACCCACCCCCTTTTTGTCCCCAGTGTGCGCAGGGTGCCGCAGGAGCCCAGCCGCTGTCTCCTCTCTGACCTGCTGTTGTCCATGAAACCACCAAACATTCTCCTCACATCTGCAAAACATTTTAGATTAGAAAACTAGCGGTGAACATGATGTTTCACTTAGCTGTAATTATTTATCCTCTTCAGTATTAACCTAATACGTGAATTTTGTAGAAAGTTCGTCAGGTGCACACCTGTGATCTCAAGCACTCGAGCAGGCTGGGGAAAGAAGACCCCAAGTTTGAGCCCAGCCTGGGCAGCCTCATGAGATTCTGCCTCAGAATAAAGCAATAAAAGGAGGCTGGATGCAGCTTTGAACGAAAGTCCTGGGTTCAATCCAAAGCAGTGCATGTAGTAATGATAATCATCCTAAAAGGAGAGCCAGGCATGGTGGCGTGTGCAGCACGTAAGAGGCCAAGTCAGGAGAAATGAGTTCTAGGCCAGCCTGAACTGCATAGTGACACAGTCTCAAACAAATAAGCCAAAATTAAAGCCTTAATTAAGAGTACTGGTCCTTCTTCCTGGTTTCCGTAATCCCCTGGACTCCTTTCCCGTATGCAGCAGGTTGCCTGCTGGTAGCTAGAGTGTAACATACGGTGGCACGGAATAAAATGTTGAGATTGAGGCTCTTGCGGCTGCTTTGTGGCTCTGTTTTGAATAGTAGCTTTCCTGTGCTGCTCTGGTGGCATCTGAAACCTTAGCAGGACATGGATTGCTCAGTTCTCAGATGCCATCGGGCACATCTGAGTGTCACCACCTTAGAGACGTCATCACTTCCTGTCCCTGGGGAGCCATACATCTCGGGCAGAACAGGAAGGCTGCGTTTCAAGCTGAGCCATCCCCACTCGGCCTGTTTCCTCTTGCAGGTCCATCGGCTGGTGGTGGTAAACGAGGCCGACAGTATCGTGGGCATCATTTCTCTGTCCGACATCCTGCAAGCCCTGATCCTCACGCCAGCAGGTAACAGTGCCTGTCTGCGCTGCCAGCAGAGTGGGTGCTGAGAGCTGCGGTACCCCCCTGGGCGTGGGGGCTTTACTCTGTGCTTTGTGACCCATTTGCATTTTCTTTTCAGTTTTAAAATTTTTTGTTTGTTTTAAGACAAGGTCTCACTGTGTAATGCAGGCTACCCTTGAACTCACTACGGAGCCCAAGCTGCCTCCAGCTCAGCACTCTTCCTGCCTCAGCTTCCCAAGTGCTGAGGTTACAGGCATGCATCACCATGCCCGGCTTCATTTTTGAAATTTTAATGTTCTACTGGGTGAGAAAAACTAGAAGAAATACTTGGAGGGGCAGAGAAGGAGGGTTTTGTTGTTGTTGTTTTTTAGGCCACTCAGAATGCCTTCAGTAGAGGGGCAGAGAAGGAAAGAGGGCTGCAGACAGGAGTTGGCATTTCTTCCTGTCCTGTAGTTCATGCTGAGAGGCGGCCCCGTGAGGTCCCAACATCCCCAGTGCACTGTAGCTTCTGTTCTCTTTCCTCTGCCTCCCTGACCCCCTCACCTCTGAACCAGCAGCCTTTGGAGGGCCTCTGGCCACAGACCCCAGGCCCAGATGGGAGACCATAGGCGTGAACATCAAAAGCCAGGAGCTCAGCCCTACACAACCCTGTGTGCCACAGTATTGCTTTGTGTTTAGTTCAGAAATTCAGACCCAGCGAAGACTACTTTGCAGTATTCTAAAACTACCTACCCTAAATAAGTAAAAAATACCCACCCACCCTAAAGGGATCCCCAATACCTGCCATAGTCCCTTTAGCTCCACCAACAGTGACCCTAACCTGAACCTTTACAGGCAGGTCACAGGCCAGTATCAGTGTCACCAGGAACTCACTATAAATATCCACTTAGGAGAGGCTGGCCAGATAGCTCAGCGGACTAAAGCATCTGCTTAGGCAGGCACAGGGATTGGTCCCCAGTGAGTCTCGGGCAGCCAGCGACTGAGACTGGGTGTGGTGGCGTGCCCTTGTCATCCCAGCACTTGGGGGTCTGTAAACAGGAGGATCACTACGAGTCCCATCTGTGTAGTGAGACCGTGTAGACCCTATACTAAATACATTTTTAAAAAATCCAAATCCACTTAGAGACCCACATTTACTGAATCTGGAACATGCTGCGAATCAGATGGGCCTCATACGTTAGCAGACCTCGGGGATGTCCCCACAGCTCTCAGTAATCCTTCTGATCATGAAATGATAATAGCTAAAATAGTCTGAGGCTTTTCATGCATTGTTTATAATACCCCAAATTTAAAAATTGCCAAGAGAGCCTTCAAAAGAAGAACAGAAACCCTGTGTTCCAGATGAGCCATGGAGTCTCATACGGCCCTGGTGGTGCTGGGGTCCCCCACCAAAACCGAGGAAGCCGTGCTGGCCTCCACTGTGGGATTCCATTGGAACACATTTCCAAGCAGCCAAAACCATGTAGCCCCTTCTGCAGATTAGAAAGGCAAAGTGGAGGCTACACAGCATAGGTTCATCAAAAAAGATCCCCCCTCTCTGGGCCCAGGCCTCTGGCCAAGCACAGGGTTCCCAGGCACACGCTGCAGCCGAAGCCATCTCTCTGTCCCCTGGCCAGGATTCTTTGGACCTGATCTTAGAGAAAACCATGGAGTGTGTGTTTGCTGCCCTGGGCCTCGGAGTCTCGACCCTGAACCATAGTAGGCTGGGCCAGGGGAGCACCAGTCTCCATCTACGCTTGGTATTTGAGGATTTGGAGTCCCTCTGCTCCTGCCTGGCCCGAAGGACCAGTTCACAGCTAGAATTTGGGGTGTGTCCATAGAAATGGTGCCACAAATAACGCGGGGTTGTTGGGCCAGAGCTCATGGGGCATGTTGTCCAAGTCCTCATCCCAGGTTCCGAGTGGATTTTGGGGTTGAGCTGGGGGCCGGGAGGCGGCACACAGTAAGTGCGGTGAGCCCCACAGCCCAGCACTATTAGTCCACCCCCCAACCCCACCGAGCTGCCTGCATGCAGCCCGCGCTTTGGCCACACCTGCTGGCTGCGGGATCTAGGGCTGGGCGCACAGAGCTGCGCATGCGTGCCAGGTCCGGAGGGGGAGGAAGGGAGAGGAGGCTTCAGGGCACACGCGCCACCCGCTGCCCTTCCCTCTAAGGCCACTGAAATGGTCAGTTTTTTTCAAGAATGTTTTTAGCAGCAGTTCACCCAACAAGCAACCATGATGGCAGTGGCAGGATTTTAGCCTCTTCTTCAAGTAGTCTCTTTCAAAGTCTTAAGACAAGCAAAGTGGTGCATGCCTGTAGTCCTGAGGCAGGAGGCTCGCCCTGAGCTCAGAGGCGGGCTGGGCTACATACTGAGTTCAAGGCCAGCAAATAGTGGTGCATCTTTCTTGCAGGCCCCTTTTGAATCATGCTGCCCAGATATGTGTAGTTGTTCTGTGCAGTCACCCCTAGACTTGTTATAATACTTAGCTTTTAATTTGTTTAAGTATGTACCACTGATGCTGTGCACATTCCCTATAAGTACACACCTACTTCTTTGTAAACTTCTCAGCAGTCACAGGCATCCAAATGCTATACGCCCTCACAGAGCACAGGCCTAGGATGCCAGGGTTCTGGGAGGCAGAGGCAGGAGGGTCACGGTGGAGCTCTCCCATCCTGCGAAATTGGGCAACTTCCTGAGCCCTTGTCTCAAATGGGGAATGGGGACGCAGCACAGTGTGAAAGCCCCAGCCCCATCCCCTGTGCATGGAAACGAAGTCCAGCGTCAGAATCTGGCGTGTGTAGATTTACAAGCAAGCGGGGCGTGATGCCGCATGCCTGTAATCCCAGCACCCTGGAGGCTGAGGCAGGAAGATCATTATGAGCTCAAAGCCAGTCTGGGCTACAAAGATCCCATCTCGGGGGGGCGAAAAAAAAAAGGAAAAATGTGGTGGGCTGTAAGAGGGAGGACAGCGGGAGGCCGCGCAGCCGAGGGCTGTTGGGTGACGTCGCGCCTTCCCGCCCCTGCCGCCCCCAGGTGCCACACCGAAGGAGCCCGAAGCAGAATGACCACCGCTGAGTGCAGCCGCCCTCGCAGAGCGTTTTGCCTCACGAACGCTGGCTGTGACAGAGGAGAGGAAAATGGCTAAGAATGTATTCCAGGGTTTAGCAATGGGTATTTTTTTTCCAGTGATGTAAGCATTAAAAAAAAAAAAAAATTTTTTTTTCTGTGCTCGAAGATGCAGGCTTGCATTGAGAAACTTTTCAGACCTCCGTCTGAAGGATCCAAATGCTGTACGTCATAAAGTGCACCGTGTCCTGAAATCCTTATCTTTCATTTCAAAGAATGCACTGGGTTGGGGCAGGTGTGCGACATAAGGTGCGTGCAGGACACCCGCAGACCCAGTGCCTTATGTCGGGACCCAGCAACATGTGTCCCCCGCAGCCGCTGGCCACGCACAGGAGCGAGGGACGCCGCCGCCGCCGCCACGCTCGCTCGAGGTGGGAGCCTTTGACCGGTCACCAAACCCAGCGTTTGCATCAGACCTGCGAAAGTCGCAAGCTGAGTATAAATAATTACTTTACAACTTCAGTGACACTTTTTTTCCGTTTGAAGTGTTTTATTCTGAGCTACCACGTGAATGAGGCTGCTTGAAAACAGCTCTATTTATTTTTATTTCCATGCCGTTTTTTTGGGTTTTTTTTTTTTTTTACGTACCTTTTGATGGGAAAACTTCACTGCATCCATTAATAAACTCTTGGTTGCTATTTGAAAATGGCCATTTTCTCATAATTTAAGGACATGGCAGGAGATGGCTTCTAAAATAGTGGCCACGGGGTCCTTAGAAGCAAGTGAAAGGGGAACCAAGTGCCAGATATGTTGGGGGGTTTTGTTTTGTTGTTTTGGCAAAATCATGCGGGCTGTACTCTACCACTGAAGAGACTGTACATTCTGCTGTGCATCCGGCATTGTCACGCAGTCAAGCAGACCAGGGTCTCCTCACTGTGAGTGCTTGGAAGACGCTGACACTGTATAAATATGGGGAGTCTGAGGGTTTTGTTTTTTGAATTTTTTTTCAGATTGAAAAATTAAAATAAATGCTACTATCGACCAGTTTGTTAAAGAAGTTCTTTTTGGTACCGTATGTTTAAGCAAGTATTCATTAAAATTCCGCATGGAAGTTTCCCCCTGAGCTATTTTCCCTGAATAAAGGATATACCAGCCAGTCATGATGGTGAAAGGCTGTTACACCAGCACTTGGGAGGCTGAGGCAGGAGGATTACTGCAAGTTTGAGGCTGGCCTGAGCTACATAGTTTAAGGCCAGACCCTTGATAGCGAGACCCTGTGTCAAAAGAAAAAAAAAAGCATAAATTTTCACCACTTTGACCCATTGTCATGAGGAAAAAGATTTAATTCATACATTCCATTATTAACCATAAACATTAAAAATCACCACACAGTTCTGCCTGCACTGTTGTCTGTTTCCTAGCAGGTCATCCACAAGGAAGCTTACACAGAAACTCCAGCACTTTGATCTACCCTACTGGTGATACTTGGGAGAAAAAGCTGCCAAGCTGCCAAAACACAGGGTATCAAATTCAGGACCTTGCGCCTGCCCGGCGGGTGCTTAGCCACTGAGCTATATCTCTGTCCCTTTTTTTTTTTTTTTTTCAAAAGCAGTTCTAAACAGCCCAGGCTTAGCCCGCTCCGTTTGTGTGGCCACACATGATTGTGGCCGAGGCTGCACACATGTAAGTATGTGGGTGACGTGGCGTGGATCCGAGGGCAGTCTGGGGCCAGCGCATGAATGGTGTTCATCCCTTCCCCGCAGCACAGCTTTTCTTATTCCTGGAAGGGCACAGGAGCAGCACTGCCCACGCCCAGGCCTTTACTTTGGCCCTTGCACGGAGCAGCACATACACCTTGTGATGGGAGGAGTTGGCCCCAAGCCTGGAGGCCTGACCAGCTGCACAGTGAAGACACCCCAAAAAGAAATGCTCGAGAGACGAAGCTGGCGTGGCAGCGCACAGCGGTCGCCCTGGCACTCCGAGGCTGAGGCAGGAGCATCGTTGTAAGTTCAGTGCCAGCCTGGGCTACAAAGTGAGCTCAAGGCCGGCCTGAACTGCCTAAGGAGACCTTGTCTCAAAAACAAGAGACCAGAGCTCACTCACCCAGCCCCTTGTGTGCTGCCCAGACCTGGCAGAAGCCCTGGTTCTGGGGACCTTGGCTACCTTTGTCACCTCCTAACTGACCCTCTCTGTGTGGGAAGAAAATGTGAACAGGTGGCCCTCAGGGAAAGGGGCAGACGGAAATAAGCCACAGGGAGCACAGGGCCCCAGGGACCTGCCACAGATGCCTGCCTTCTCGGGAATCTGCTCCCACGGGGGCATTTGGCTCTGCCTCGCAGGGCCCAGGAGAAAATCCCTGCCTGCCGCAAGTACTTGGAAGGTACATTTTACTTGATCTGTTTGCACACACCTAGAACAGATTCCACGATTCTTTCAGTCCTTCACATTGCCTGACAAGGACCTGAGTCTTATGTCCTGAGTGGTTTCACTCCCTGTGTGCCTGGCTTCTTTTCTACAGTGGGGTGGGGGTACAGGAACCGATTCGTCTGGTCACTGTGTGCTCTTAGTACCGGTGAGGCCTTGGAGATCCAAGCCAGAAACTGCTGGACCTCTTTCTGATTCTAAGCATATCTCTCTTGAAAAACCTATAACAGATCCCCAATTTCTTTTTTTTTTAATTATATTTTTTTATTGAGAAATATGAATGAGACAGTTTCACAGCTGATTAATAGAACAGTTTTTATAGTCAATACACTACATTGTTATCTTTTTAATGGTTATCCATAGTACAAGAAGCAGACAGGATATCCTGTCCAAACACGGTTAGTACACCTCTTTCTTCTCATTGAGTTAAGCGAAAGTAGCTGTAAATTTATCGTAACTATTTTGTATATATAAATACAAAATGATCTTTCCTTTGTATTTTTTTTTAAAATTTTTTTTTGTCTTGTCAGAGGTGAATATTCTTTTGACATCTAAATACCATAGGTGTTTGAATTCAACTAAACAATCTAACACTGTCTAGCAGTCTATAATATTAGTGGGTTGGGGCCGGGGAGATGGCTCAGTGGAATAAGTGCTTCCCTGGCAAGCGCAAGTATCGGAGTTCAATCCCCGGTTCCGCAAGAAAAAAAAAAAATATATATATATATATATATATATATATATATATATATTAGTGGGTTATCCTCAGAAGTTATTGACTTGAGCCTTTTACAGCTCATCGTATTAATATGGATTTACTTTATATACCTCATTTTTATACTTTTCTGCTGGATGGTTAAGACCAAGATATAGCAAGACCTATATAACAAGAAATGTAACTTTTGTATCTGATAAGGTCAGCCAAGTACTCTCTGGATTTATCCTGTAGCCCTGTACCACCCTTTGTACGTCCTTTTGTCAGTGTCAGCCATGAGGATGAGTCATGGCCACTGCTTGACCAATGTGCTTTCTGTGACAGCCTGAGAGAATGTTTTCTCTCCATGTGACTCTCCCCAGGCTCACTTTAGATCATTGAACATATTTCTCCATGGCTCCATAATCTTCTTGATCAGAAAATTTGGAGCACAACTGAGTTACATGTTGTTACAGCACAGGTTCTCCTATGTCCCGAGTCTTCACTGACCTTGAAAGGCTAGGGCCAAAATGTTGGCTGACCTTGCAGCCCTTCCTTTTCTCTAATTTTGATCTGCTAACTTAGGTTGTTAACCCTCCAGAAGAGAAGCTAATTATTAACCTACAATATATGCAGTTCATTTTACCCTATCTGTCGAAATATCAAACCTTTTGGCATATCCTGGAACAGGTATTTTCCATCAGATATTGATATGTTGAACTTTAAGTCCTTACAGAATATGAAGAAAAAATAATTATATAAAAGTAGAAATAAGCATTTACATATTTTTACAAAGAAATTTAGAAACCTAATCATATACGGAATTGTAAGTCCTTATATTAGGGAGACAATACGATATTTACAGATATGGGTCTGGTTTATTTCACTAATAAGTATATCTTCAAGGGGCATCCACTTAAATATGAAGGCTTCAAGTTTATCATTCTTTATAGCTGAGTAGTATTCCATTATATAAAAGTACCACATCTTTTTCAAGCATTCCACATGTGACGGGCATCTTGGTTGTTTCCTAGATCTGGCTATCACAAATGGTGCTGCTATAAACATAGGTACGCATATATCACTATGATATGACGCTTTCAGTTCCTCCGGGAAAATTCCCAGGAGGGGGATAGCAGGCTTGAATGCAGACCCCCAATTTCTAGCTAGCTGGTTTCGCAACCCTGGACTCTGCATCAGCAAACCGGGCAGGGGGGGAGGCATCTGCGACCCGGCACCCCCAATGTCACCTATTCCTACTTTCTCAGCAGGAAAGAATGACCCTGTGTCTGTCACTGTGTGCTGCTACCAGGGACTCGCCTGTACCTCGTGTGCCCTGTGGCTCTGGGACCTGTGCACATAGGACTGTGTCCCTTCTCCCCTACAGAGATAGACACAGCATGTGTTCTAAGGGAAAAACAAAAAACAAACAAGCAAAAAAACACACAGAGACAGACACCTGTCGCCTCTGCATGTGTCCTGTGGCCCAGACCACCCAGTTCAACCTCAGGGCACCAGGTCCACACCAGTGGCCAGGTCTCACCCTCCTGCTGGAAACAGGGTGCTGGGTGCACTCGAGCCGACACCCCAACCTCCAAAACCGTGCCCAGGTGACACGCACTGCCTGCGGCACACAGTGGTCCTCAGGGCACGTGGGCATGCCAGCTCCCCATGGCGTTTGCACACACACGCAGCCCAGTTTCTTCTGGTGCCCAAGGTGGGGGCATCACTGGTCCGTGGGCACAGTGCCCACCTTAGGCCCCTCAGCCTGCCTCCCAGCTGCACCCAGGCAGCCTCAGCCTGCCTCAGGTTCATACCACGCCTGATTCCTTCACTCCCTATGGAAGGGCACCCTGCTTCCTCAGAGTCCTGCAGCACTGCATACGATCTGTAGATAAAGCAGAGAAGCTGGGACCCTGAGGTGTTTTCTTGGTTGATTGATTGCTTTTCTGAGACAGGGTCTCAAGGCCCAGGCTGGCCTTGAACTTGCAATGACCCTCCTGCCTCAGCCTCCCAAGGGTCAGAGTTAAAAGTTTATGCCACTCTACCCACCAGAATCCCAAGTTTTCTGTGTGACTTCTTCACCACCCTAAGAAAACAAAAATGATGGCCTGTGTGTGTGTGTGTGTGTGTGTGTGTGTGTGTGTACACAATACTGCACACACAATACTGGGTATTTGATCCCAAAAGTGCTGCACCACTGAGCCATATCCTGACCCCTTTCTTAATTTTTTTTTTTTTTTTTTTTGGTGGAACTGAGGATTGAACTCAGGCCCTTGCACTTGCCAGGCAACCACTTATTCTACTGAGCTATCTCCCCGGCCCCCCTTTTTTAAATTTTGAGACAAGAGTCTCAATCACTAAATTGCCCAGGCTGGGCTGGAACTTACGATCCTCCTGTCTCAGCCTCCCGCGGTACTGGGATTGCAGGTGTATGCCACCACTCGGAGCCAAAGGGTGACATTTCTGACAAAGCTTTCTCGTGTTTCCAGATGGATCAGCCCTAAAAGTTGTTTCTCCCTGTCCTCATAGTTAGCTGCACCTATGAGCCAAACCTAGGAGGTTTATGTATAGAAGCCGCTGCCTGAACCAGGAAGCCAGACCAGCCTGACTGCTGGAGCCCGGAATTGAAGTCCCTGCCTGGCCACCCTGCCTGGCCTCCCCTCGCACCTCAGGCTGCCTCCATCTCCAGCCTGGGCACCTTAGCAGATTAGCAAGACCCTATCTCAAAATGAAAAATACAAAAGGACTGGGTGTGTAAAGATCCTAATTCAATCCCCAATATGTCAGAAAAAGTAAAAATAAAAAACTCGAGGCATTTATAGGTAAATGGATGAAACTACACACCATA